TGCGCGTGCGTGCGTGTGTGTGTGAATGAGACACTGGGGTAGGTGGGTGGGAAGAGGATCTGACCTTTAAGGGGGGGGATCAGGACCTGGAGGGGATGTGAGTGGGTTGTATTAGTGTTTGTAATAAACAACCACATAACTTATTATTATTATTATTATTATTATTATTATGTATGTTATATTTGCTGTGCAAAACTAATTAAGAGATTTAAAAAAAGAAAATAGCATTTTCTTTTCAGATTTCCTGTAGTAAATTGTTATTGTGAATTCTTTGGGTTTGGATAATGGTTGAGTTAAAATCTGATATGGTGACAGCGCCAGAATTCAGATTGCTGACTTTCGGAGCTGATGATGCATTAACTGATAAGAGGACAATAATTGCCATGTGTGACTGGATGGTAATGTGCCTGTATTGCTTCACATTTACACCTACCAGCCCAACTGTCCTCAATCAAATGTGTTTAAATGACAGTTGGCTTTACCTGTGTCAGTGTCTGCTGAGCACTCCATGAGTTAGTTGAGATAGCACTCACTGAGGAGTCTATAATTAATCTTAATTAATCTATAGTGACGTGTGTCTACAGTGCACTCCTACAGTATGGTCAGTCTATATACTTCTATATCTATATCTACTTCTACGTCTATGCTTGTATCTTAAAGGTCATTTGTCTTTTTAATCAGTTATATGACATAAATAAAAAGAGTAAATGTGAGCTCATAAAACCATATTTGGTCTATTTCCTATCTCTGTGATGGTTCTGGGTGGATGGAAGGAAGATCATTAAAATAATATTAATTAACAGCGCTCACCACTGTGTACTGAACAATTGGAAAAAATGTAACTTTCAGTAATGTGGTTCTTGGTCTGAAAAGTATATAAAGTGAAATATACACAGCATTGAAAATGAGTCATTCCTGATCACACCACAGGGGGGCAGTAGCACCCTGGGATGAGGACTGCTAGGGTCCAAATGAGCTGAAACTAAAATGATCAAGGACTTGCACATTAAGAGGTAGAGTGGGGGAACAGCTTTAAAATAATTACTTTTAATCTGTAGTCAGTTATTAACATCTGATTTTCAGTCAGATATGACTTTCATCAATCATTGTAATATTACTAATATGTGAAGATTTGTAGCTTTATTGGTGGACAAACATACAAATAAAGAAGTGAGCAAACCAAATGTGTGTGTGCTGTACCTTCTGCAAAATCTAACTGATTCAGTTTGCTCTGTGAAGCACTTTGGGCTGGTTTGTATGAAAGGTGCTACATAAATAAAGTTGAGTTCAGTATGTTATCTTTGTGGGACACGTTTTTTCCATCATATTCCGCCTGAATCTGCACAGCTTGAGACTCGAGATTTTCCCCGATGGGCGTAGCGTAGCTTTCACAGCCACTGGATAAAAAAGGGAGTTTTAGAGAAGCAACTGTCCTGCAGTGGTTTGACCCGTGAGAATAGAGCCAGCTGGGGCGCAGGGTAGCTCACCCCATGTAGGCCGAGTCCTGACCACAGCCGCCTGGATTCGATTCCAACCTGCTGTTTATAAGAATAAATAAGAATATTATGCATTTTATTGAATGGTTAAAAGGTTTACCTTGTATTGCTCCAACATTCTCTCTCTCTCTTTCTCCCTCTGTGTGTGTGTGTGTGTGTGTGTGTGTGCACCAGTGAAAAGTAAATCATCACATGTTAAATGCGGCTCTGAAGTCACCTCCTCCCCAATAATTTGAGACCACTCGGTTCAAAAAGCCATGATCTTCTTCCACACAGTCTTTTATTTGTAAATAATAAAAATGAACTCTTGAATATAAAACATACACATCAGTAGAGCCACATCTGTTATACAAACAAGAACTGTTGCAGTGAATACTTAGTCTTTCGTCTAAAATCGTGGTTTGGGAGTGGGGAGCCATGGGCTGTAAACAATCAGTATTCCTGGAGTAATACTGACAAAGGAAAGGGCAGTCGGCCACACCGCCAAGGGTTTCAACAGAAACATCCGCAAAATATGTCTGCAAAAATCAGATTTCTCATTGGCTTTAGAAGTCCAGTCCAAACCAATCATAATAAACAGGGGAGAGGGTTTAAGGAGAAGAAAGTAAACTTTGTTCCAATTGGTTCTGCTTGTTTTTCTGCAACTGGGACAAAAATAAAGGCCTATTAGCGCCGCCTTGTGGCTCCGTGCCGCTCAGCGGCTCGAGCACATCCACAGGACGCAAATTCCCTTCAACAAGACCAGGAATGTTTGTGTGTCAGCGATGTTTTGTTTGTTCATAACTTAAGTTCAAGCCGCTCATCCTGGTTTGTATGTACAAGGTGTGCATGTGTGTGTGTTGGTGACGGGTGTGCAGTCAGATACACTCTTTTTATATTCATATATCTATATCTTTATAATTTCTGTCAAACTCATAATGATACTTCATATACATTTAGCTGTTATACACACATTCTCTATCTCTGTCTCTAGCCCCGACTGTGTTAAACTACAGTTTAGACACCTACACCCGCAGATACGCCAGGGGCTCGAGTATGCTCAGTACTACAGAACAGCACTGTTGTTCAAAGGGTTAAAAAAAAACTGAAACAAAGATAATTTTTTTTTTCCGGAGACTTCCTAATATTTATATTTAGACCCAGAGTGGTAGGCGTGGCCTGGGCGGAGTTAATCCCCCCCTATTGGTCCGCTCCTGTTAGGGGCGGGGATGGCTTGGCTTTTCTCGGTTTGTATTCATATTCAGTACGAGCAAACTGTACAAGAACATGCAACATACAAGCTGGCCTAAAAGTATGTGGAACTAACACACATAAGTCTAGTCTTTTTTTCTGTTTTTGTTTTTTTGAGAATTGTTCGTTAATTTGTCTCGTCTTCTATTTTACAAAAAAGTAGAGAACAAAACAAAAAACGAAACAAACTGAACAAAAGAAACGTGCATGCAGCTTGGGGCCGGGGCGGGGGTGCGTCCCCGAGTCATGCTGCTCCCTCCTACAGGGGGAGTTTGAGGGGTCTGGAAAGGGGGAGGAGACCGGGGTTGGGCAAAGGGTGTTCGGGCGAATGTGACCTGACCTTTATTGTCGGCCTTTGGCGCACCGTCGCATGAAAACCAAACACACACGTACACAGAGGGAGTCTGCACCGCAAGTTACCATTCTGAACTCTGGGCAAAACAAAGACAGAAAAAAAATGATTCCAAATGAAAAAATAAAAAGCAAAAAGTGGATTTGGCCTCTGTTTTCTTTCCTCTTTGTTTAGACAGAGCAAAACCTTTCGCTCGCCTCCGTCTGGATTAAGGAGTCAAGCTTCTCTTGTGCTCGCTTTCATACATCACAACAAGGCTAACAATGTGCACCTGAAGAGGTCGCCAGACCGTGCCGGGCCGCTGCCCCACGTGCTCATGTACGACGATACTGTTACCACGGTAACACCGGCAGAGACAACAGCCAACCTTTACGTGACGGTACGGCCGCAGGAAGCTGCCTCAAGTTTGCTACTCACTAACCCCTACACGTCGTTCACACCACCCATCCCTGTGGCCTCGCAGTGAGCTCTACGCTGATTGGCTGGAGGGCTACTAGGGTGGAGGACTCCACTTTGATCGGGTGCTTTAATCGGGGCTGCACAGGAAAATAAGGGGAGAAGAAAGAAAGAAGAACAGAAGAGAGGAATGAAGAATGTTGGACAGAAACCTCCACTGCTGCAGTTGAGAGGAGAAAACAAAGAAAGCAAAGCTGTGAAAACAAAAAGGCATACGGAGGAGGAAGAGGGAAGGTGTGAGACATGATTGTCAGACTCCAGCTAAACTTTGATTGGCTAGTTCTGTCTCTCCCTCTCTCTCTTTCTCTCTCTTATTCCCTGTCGCTCTGTCTGGCTTTTCACTGGTTGACTGAGGGCTTCCGGATTGTCGTCCTCGGGGCGTATTCTCGCCCTCTGCTCAGTTCTGGTCCAGTAGCAGTGGTCCATTATTTTATCATTTAAGGGATATCAGGGGGGTTTAGGGTTTGCGGTTGCCATTCGGTCACTAGGACCGAACGCCCGGTGGCGGTCCTGAGCTGTCCAATGACGTCTGAGACGCCAGCCGCGTGAGCGGAGCTAATGTAGGGTCCACCAATGAGGATGGCGGAAACAGTTTGTACCAGCCAATCACCGTGCTTGAGAGGTCCAGGTCCTCCAATAGGATCTGTGCTACACCCATGAAACATTTGTGGTCCAATCGTCCATAGTCGCCCCACACTATCACCTAGAGGGAGAGGAGAGTTAAACTGGTAAGCATTGATCAACATGTTTATGAATCATTCCTAAAGCTAGGGGGTTTTGTTTGTTGTATTTGTTGAAATAATCTTTACATCCCGACAGCGGTCAATAAATCAAATCCTCCTACCGACCCTAGCTTTAAGGTAGAAAGGGTGCTCTTAATGCTTTTAGACCAAGCTAACTGACACTGTCAAAGTCAATGACACAGAGCTGTTTTCAAATTTAGAAACAAGTCCAAGATCAAAAAGTCAAAGTCCAGGTCAAGTTTAAAGTTAAATATCAAGTCAAGTCTCAAGTCTTAAGTCATTCAAAACACATCCAAGGAGAGTCTTGGCTAGTTCATGTCAAGTCTAGAGTTATCATTCAGGACAACTTAAGTTTCATGTCATTCAAGAGTCCAACTCAAATCCAGTCCAGTCTAAATAATTCAAAAAATAAGTAATTAAAATGACTGAAATGAATACAAACAAGTCTTACGTCTTTAAGAGCAAATTGAAAGTCAGTTCCAAGTCTTTCAGGTCTCTGAATGCTGAGAAATACAATGACATGGCATTTTCCTTTTAAAGCTGTGTTACATAGCGGAGATGTTACTTTAATGCACAGGGCTGACAATAAAATGGTCTTCTTGTCTTGTTTTTTTTTGCTCCAGAATTTTAACAGGTCAAAACTTGAGACTAGATATTTTTTTGCTTTAAGGTTCCAAGTAAAGTATTAGTCAGCTCTTAATGGCAATTAAGTCTATTCATGTCTAAAGTCTCTACAGCTCGAGTATAGAGGTAATTACACTGTAATGTGGTAATTTTCTGTTAAATCATGAGCTAAAAGCTTTCTCTATTGCATGCCATTATTTAAGATTAAACCTTTTTACAGACATTCTCATTACAAAGTGGGCAACAGTTGGTTGTTCAGCCTGTTTGAGACTGTTACTAGGTAGACCCTCCCACGCACACACAGAGTATTACCTGAAGCACCTTGCCCTGGGGACTCTCATCAAAGAGCAAGTGCTGCTGGTAGAGCGGCTCCAGGGTCTTTCGTGCAATCTTGGTTTTCTTTTTGGCTTTACAACTTCCATTATCCAGCAGGTACACCTTGACATAGGGAGCTGGTGATGGAGGGACGGGGTTAAGAGAGAGCAAAAAGAGAGGATGATGCAGGAGGGAGAAGAAGCAAGCTTTGTTGGGTTGTATGTGTGTTGGAGTTTGACATTGAGGCATCAGGCATGGTCTGTATTTAAGGTCTGAGTGTGTGTGTGTGTGTGTGTGTGTGTGGGTGTGTGTGTGTTACCTGGGAGGGATTTGGAGCCCGGTTTGGAGGTAAGGCCTCGTGCCCTGATCACCTCGACCTCCAGCTGGCCTTTCTTATCCATCAAACCGATCTGAACATCACCTGTATGTAAGGAAGACATACACAAACACACATACAAACCACATTTAGACAAATTATTGTAAAATTATCACAAACTACTTGTTAGAGTTTGCATATTTTAGCTCTTCTCCAAGTTCTCAAAGCAGCAAATACATTATATATACAGTACATATATATTAACAAGGTGAAATACACTGATATTCTTCAATTTTTTCATGTAATGAGAAGAACAGAACCTCATATTTGCAGTTTCCTTGCATTACAAACACAGAGATGTGGTGTGGGATATGGAATGTGCAGTGGATTTGATGGAGCCACCACTCACCCATGGCAGGTGTTGCCAGTGTTTGCCGGCCAACCAGCTGACCGGGGCCTAAACCATCCAGGAAGTCACTGAACTGACTGTCGGCACCCAAACGCATACCTGAGAAGATCAGACTGACACGCACACACACGAATTACTCAAAACACACAAGGGTTAGTCAACTGCATAGATCTATACAAAAGCTGTTTAATACTAACAATAATACTTGTTCACATGCAGGTGTAATCCTCTAGTGTGTACGTACTTCCCCTCAGAGCTGTAGCTGTTCATGCTGCCATCGGTGGACTCTCTGCTGGCCTGCCGGTTCATGGCCGTCCCTCCCCGTGGGTACTCCACAGCCATGCCCGTCTCCACGCTCCTCTGGATGCTGCTGCTGCCGGCCTTACTGCCCTTTTTACCTGCTGATGCTTCTGTGGCAAACACAGAAAAGAGGTCTTACACAATTAGACTTTGCTTGTGTCATTTTAAGCGAAGCTGTTATCAGTTATCAGGCATCTCATTTCATACCTTCCCTCGAAACTCAATCTGGTCCTGCATTTGTACGGAGTATGACTGTATCACTGATATGATAATACTAGGTCACAGGTTCTTAGAGGTTGAGTTGAATCTTTTTCCAGTCATACTTTTTTGCATCTACTCAAGGTAGTAACTCTGACAAGCCTGATAACTATAGGCTGAGGTTTCTCAATTTGCAGGCCATGCCATGCAAATTAATATTCCAGGGTGACCTCACCAACATCCCCAAACAAGATAAATACATGACAATCTTCGGGGGGGTTGGGGAAAGAGTTAATCTAGGAAAATCACATATAATTTTTGGAAAATAGGAATGATCTATTTTATTTAGATGATGAGGTCACTGCAGGAAGACAACATGGGTCAGTCAATTTGGTGAGGATGAGAAGGTAAAACAACAAGGGTTGAAGAAATCATATATCCAGACATAAAGGAGGAGTCCAGCTCTTTTTAAAAGCCTGCTGTTATTCATAATAGCGTCCTTTCAGTCCACCCAAAAAGGATACCAGTTTCTTTTTGAAGACATGAAAGGACACGCAATGTACCTTGCAACAATCAGACTATGGAGACAAACGTGTTTGGCTCAGCCAGGCTTCTTGTAGAACTGGACCAGCCTTTTATAACACAATGGTGACAGGGTAGCGTAAGGAAGCGTGCCGGAGACAGAGTTCAGGAAGGGCTGGAGGAGCAGGGAACAGAACTATTCTGCAACTCTCCTCTATCATTCTCTTTCTGTGGTGCCCTGTCTGCCTGAGTTTGCCCTATTTCATCTGCATCTGTGTCTCTTAAAACCTTAAATGCTTTATTGGTTAACTTACTCTCTAACATTTCTCAATGCAATTAAACATCACAGACGTTACATCTAACAGCTGCAACATAATGTATTTAACCCTCTAAATAGGTTTACCTGCTATATAATATAACATCATGCTGCTTTATTATCTTTATAGCACCTAGAGGTCTTTAAAAGCACCACCTGAGCCTTGACACAGTATTCCTATCTTCCTGTCTTACAGTGTCTGTCTGCCTTCCTTTCAAACTGTCTGTCTGTCTAACTATTGCTTTACCTTTCTGTCTGTCCGCCGCCTTACCCGCCGCCTCTGAAATAACACACACAACAACAACAAAGCCAATAAACAACAACATCAGAAACAACAGCAACACTGGATACACTGGTAAAATTATCTGAAAGTGTTACAGTGTTAATGACACAGAGGTTGTTGTCTGCATTATAGTCTCCATGTATAGTGTTTGTGTGTGTGTGTTTGTGTGTATGTGTGTTTGTCCTAAACTACCAGACCCATGACAAACACTGCTTTATCCAAACCAGTTGTGGAGGCACATTTAACGTTAGAGAAAGTACAATACAATCTAAGGTACCCTGTGGAGTTTTAATTGTAAAGCAACCAAACACATTATCTATCCATTCTAACAAATACGCTAAATCAATTTCTCAAGTCATAAAAGATCCCTGTTTTGGAGTGTTTTGAGCTTTTAGAGCGCACTGCAGCCACTAACAGCCCCCTGCAGTCTGCAGAAATGTGCACCATACTGGCCCTGTGCTCACAGCATGTATTTGTTTTATAGTCTTTTAACTTTGTCCATCATCTGCCAAATGCAAAGACGGATTTACCACGCAATATAAAACAGACTAGATGCCATTATATGCTGCCAATCTTCTTGGCGAAGGTATTATTTATTTACAGTAATTACACTAATGTCTTACAATTATTGTGGAGGTGCTTCTTTGAAGCAATGACACACACACAGCAATGTTAAAGGCCTTCAATGAGGGTCTGTGCTTGGTGGTGACAGTGTAGGCTATCTTGTTTATCTGTGTATGTTTCTTTCTGCCTTTCTGCGTGTATTTGGGTGCTGATTTCTCAGACTGTTAGTCACACTGTTCTCTGACCTGTCTGGCTGAGCTGCGAGGTACTCCGGCTGCGTCTGGACGGCAGGATGGCGACAACACGTTGGCTGAGGCTCGAGCGCCGCTTCTTGATACCACTTCCCAGGCTGCCGAGCGCCGTGTCTGATTGACTGCCGTCAGTGTGCTCCATGCCGTAGATCTCACCACTCACGCTGGTGCTCTTCATCATGTGGCGGCCCGTTGCGCGCATGGCCCTGCTAATTATCACATTTAATAACAATCGCATAACGTCACCCAAAACTACCTTTATTTTGCATGACTTCCCTTTTACCAAACATGAGCAATAATACACAGCGAGTGTGTAAGTGAGGTGGTACCTGAAGCGTCCCCGGGGTCTCTCTGACTGGATGGACATGTAGCTGGTGCTACTGATGCGAGAGGCACTGCTGGTTCGAGAGATGGCTGACACGTCGCTGACATCACTGTCTGAAGACTTATGGGAAACGTTCTCGCTGCTCCTCCTCTGGTCCTTGTAGAGCTGCAGGAAACATACATCAACCAAAATGATGTTAAGACATATTAGTGCCAGATACTGCAAACCATGCACTGAGAATCAATCAGTAAACTATGAGGAGAGGTGTCAATGATCTGATGAACTAATCAATGTTTTTACATTGGATGGATGAAATACCTATCCTAACAATCAGCTCTACAGAGCCTTCTTGGTGTCTTTCAGCTCATTGTTTCGTTTTACTGCCCACAACTTCAGTTCAGTCTCACAGCTCTCATCAACCTTGATTTGCAAATGAGCCATTTCCCTCAGAAGTTGGCAAAGAAGTTGCAGATATTAACAATTTAGATTTTGTAACAGAATATGAAAGCTATTGTAAATCTCAGAAGGATGAAGCCTTGATCACCGTCACCTTATCACTTTCTACACGTTTTCATCCATTTCACAGCATTACTGACACTTTTGGATGTTCACGTCAGTTTGTGCTGATGATCTACGCCGTCAGATTGAAATCATTTCACATTCAGTCAGATGGGGGACAGTGTAATGCATCACAAAGACAGCACTGACAGGATGCGTACAAAAGAGTGGAACTACTGGCATGTGGACATGTGTGAAAGTCAGGACATCGCCATTAAACTGTCAGATTTCTGTAAGTTAGGGACAGGAAAACCAGCCAGTATGGATTATACACTTCTGAATTGGAAGAGTTAGGTACATTCTTGAGCGACTGCCCAGTTGGAACCAATTCATTTTATTGAGTGGTCTTCGCCATTACGGTAACATAATTTATTACTTTCTTAGACAGTAAATGCAATTCACTGCGATGCACTTCAGCAACATTATGGCTCGTTCTCTCCAGCTGGAACCCTTATTGTCCCCCTCCATTCTCCTGATGAGTTTGTTTTAAAGTGAACTGTCAGGCTAAATGAAGCCAAAGGAAAATAGTTGCAGCCCACCTCCCGTTTGTTCTTGAGGGCTCGGTCCAGGTCCTGTTGGCTGGAGGTGGTGGCGGCTGACACCCTGTTGGAAATAACCCTCATCTGGAGCTGACGAACACACTCCTCTGCTACCAGGGCTACACACACACACACACACACACACACACATACACAAAATACAAGAAACTCAATAACCTCTAATTTAATCACACGCTGCACTTTTAATTCCCTCTATCTACACAAAAAAAAAAGAGTATGGAAGCCCTGAGTGGCAAGTGAGTCTGATCTAAATTGTTCCCTCTCTTGTGTTTATGACTCAAGAACAAGTGAAAAAATTTTTTGCCAGCGTAATAATTCTAATATTTCTTTTTTTTTAACAGGTGGGAAAAAAGGCTTTGCCAGGATCATTTTTCAATTTTTTTTTAAATCTAACTTTTTTTGGCAGGATGATTTGGCCACTACATTTTGTTTCTCAATAGGACTTAAAGCAAGTAAGTGAGTTTTAATTTCTCTTTGCATTGTACAAAAGACAAATTCAGGCGGAAAACAGAGAATAAGAACAACAAATTGTACTGCATCTGTATTCATTAATCTTGGTGAGGACAGTAAGTGTAATATCTCAGAATATCTAAACCAAAAGAAAGACGAGCAACAACAATTATTCTTCCACTTTAACAAATTAACTTTACAGTGTCCAACTTAAATTTGGAGATGCACTCAGACAAATAATGTGCAGCATACTGAGTAACATTATAATAATAAAACAATTAAACTCAAAAATGTCCAGCAACTTTTGGTTTTCCAGGGAGTTACTTGCTGGATTATTTCTAGTGTTGACTTCCTGGAGCCTCCTGTCATCACAGTGAGGTTGTCCAGCACATAACACCCTGTAACTCTTCCTCCTGGTTCCCTCAATACGCAATACATAAATCAAAGAGTGTGATTGACAATATGCTCCGCTGACTTTCAGCTGTCCAATTTAAATTCCAGAAAGGATTTCTTAAACAAAGATTTATATTTTTTTATTTATCATGTGAATGTCATTGCATCAGTCCAGCGCAACACAGGGAACAACACTGTACAAGCTGATGCACATATTGCCTCTCACCTAGACTTAAACATAATTCAGTACACACTCCCAATCCTCAACATATACCTTGTTCTACGGTGCTGCTCTTGGGGGGAAGCTGTGGGAGTTGCCGTACTCTGCGGGCCGAGGAGGACGTCACTGAGGAGGAGAGAGACGAACCACCTTGGAGGTGGCCCCTAACACAAAAATAACATGATAGTGAAGCAGACAGAGGAGAGAACAGCCAGAGGGGGGGAGAGGAAGAGGAGAGGGTTGAAGAAGAATGAACAAAAGCAAAAGGATGAAAAGAATGGAGATAAAAAGAGAGAGAGAAGTCAATATGTCTGTGATCCAGGGTGTACACTGCAGCACCACTCACTTCCTGGCTGGAGTTCATAGTTCTTGAGTTAATCCTATTCACACAGTATTATTTTGACATTACAAGTGGTTGAAATTCACCTGCAGGAACACAGAAACTGAGCGAAAAAACAACTGTTATCATTTTATATTTCCTGTCTGAAGATGTGTAACATCAAATATGGCAACAGGAAGAGCATCAGTTGAGGAAATAAAAGAACAGCAACAATATTTCTGTGAACAATCAGTGGCAACAACGTATTGACAAAGTGAAGCAAAGTGAAGCTTGTTCAGGGGTTCGACAGTGAGGCATCCTGTTGCAGAAAGAGCAGCAAATAAAGATTTAGACGGTGAAAGAACACATGGAGAAAGTGAAAGCCTTCAAGCACAAATCCCACCAGATCTGCAGACATTCATTCACTGTAATCCATTCTCACAAAAGACCCCAGAACGGGGGTTATTCATTTCACCGTGAATTACCTGTAACTGGAGCACATCGCTCAAATCAGATCAATTCATCCTTCTTAAGTCCCGCCCCTTCAGGACCCTCGGTCAACTTTCTCCTTTACTTATGGTGCATTACATTTGAAGTCAGAATCTTGACACATTACTGTCCAAGACCTGTTTGAATAAATGAAATACAACATGATTTTGCTAGAGCTCGGTTGTCCGACTCGTTGCACTGGAAGTCAACTCGGGTGTGAGCTCCGACGTCAGACCTCAGACTTCCGAGGTAAATGGAATGCATCATTAGATATGCTACGTGCTAGCCTCATCTATGTTGAGAAGAGAACCACATTTTGAAGATGGTTAAAAGATCAAAGCTACATACTATAATATAGTCACATCTTAGGTGAGCTAATGTTGGCAAAACACTAGCTAACTTGCAAGTTAATCAATGGTTAGGTAACTAGTTAGCTAGTGAGAAGGAACAAGTTAGCTAACAATTAATGTAGATTAGCTAGCTGTTAAAATACATCTGCAGTAATTAACAGTAAAATATTCTGTTATTTTACAGTATTTTTTTTGGTGCCAAAGCTGCAGGAATATTTCCATTTTTTTTACAGTGTATGTGGTTTTTATTTATTAACCATCTTCAATATGTGGTTGTCTTTTCAACATAGATTAGCCTTAGCTACCATTAGCACATAGCATATCAAAGTACAGGAAAGGAGAAAGTTGACCGAGGCTTGCTCAGCTGTTATTGGAGCACAGAGCAAAAAGGGGCGGGACTTAGGAAGGGTTAACTGCATGTTGATGACAAAATAGTAACAGAAAAATGCAGCTAATGTCTTTGAATTGTCATTATTCTGTTGAGTATGACATTTTTCACCAGTTCTACTGTAAAAAGCTTCAATTTAAAATTGCCATTTTACTGGCCATCCACTCTGCTTTTATATTCATAGAGCAAGAGAATACAATTCCTGATGCTAAATCTATTAATTGTGATATAATTAATGGTCTCTTCGCCCTTGTGATTTACAAAATACCCTATTAAAAATGTTCAGGTGTTGCGTGAGGAATGCTGAAACAGATCAAAATTATGCAAAACAGGCCTTTTACACTTTACACAACACAAAATGACACTGATAAACAATGACCTTCGAGTGTCCACACGTCATCACAACACATATACACAAACACAGAACAACAGCAGTGTCCGAGGTTGTGATGTGGCAAAGACAGCTCACAGAAACACACACACACATACGCATACACAGGTAGAAGTATAAAGGTGTGCGAAAGCAGCCCTGTCTTGTTCTCAGCACAGTATGTACAGCAAATTAAACAAAAAGGCGGATCTGCCTCTGTGTCAATGGGTTAGAGGGGGGCACTCATTCAAGTGAAATCCCCTTACCAAGGGGCCGCAGTGGGGGCTTCTTTCCTCTGGAGCCCCTTAAGATGGAGGTGGGTTTGATTCTGGTACACACACACACACACACACACACACACACACACAGTCACACGAGTGCCATACAAACCCAAAGCCCCGCAGCCCCGTGTGTGAGCAGCAGCATGCAGGAACAAAAAATGGGAAGAAACATGGGGTCGAGGAAAAATGGAGGAAGGAAAAAAAGCAACAGAATACAAATAAATAAAAGGTTATCCAAATAATGTAAAATGAAACATTAGGAGACAACTTGCTTGCAGGTAAGCATTAATCTTCAGTTAACTTGTCCAATGTGTGGTTAACAAGTAGACACTGCCTGAGGACTGAGAAAATGGATTGAGCTACTTTAATGTTATTAAAGGACCACTATCATCCAATCATGTCTCCTAAAAATGACCTTTACACACTACTAATTTTCAACAACAAATACACTTTGAAGGAAACATCATGGCAACTAAAGCATGATTAATATTAATCGTTATGTTGAATTTAGTTTAGGGCAAGATAGTGGTCTTGGTTTAAATATAAACGCAGTCAACACTGACGTTAGCAATAAGTTAGCAGCATGGCAATGTTGGTCTGTTTAGAAAAGACGCGTCATACTTTGCCAGTGAACATTTACTTATATAAAAACTTCACTTTTAGGAGACAGGGTTGAGGCATCATGTGTTATTATGTCCCCAACAATCAGTGTGACTTTATGGGGTCTCTCTGACCATGAGAAGACAATGGTCAGTCAGTATTTAATGAGAAATGCTATAAACTCACCTATACTAATGACCAGAATTTTGTATGAAGTAAATGCCTCAAAAGATACATAAACTAATTTGAATCTTTCCCCATCTGGCAGTTAAATACCAATAAATGTTTACCTTTCAACTGTCCAACAAGGTCTATGATTTATTGTGTCTATGTGAATGGCCATAATAATAGAATCCTTACTTTAGTCTAAAGTCCCATTCGAATTCCACGCAGGACTTTTGACTCAAATTCATCTCACGCAGTATGTTTGCCTCATGTCTCTCCCTCTGTGCCCCCCCCCGGGTTGGCTTTTGGCTTTTGGCTTTGTCGTGCTGAATGTCCGTGTTTATTACGGACCATATCCTGTAATGTCACTATGGTTAAAATGCTGTCCAACACTATGAGTTAAATTACAAAGGAGCGCAGTGACTATTTAATCCCCCACCTTCCTCTGTAATGTTAAACCCGTCCCAGTGGAGCTTCAGACTAACTTAAAAAAACTTCTTGGTGAGTGGGTTTGAAAAGTGGTTTGAAAAAAAAATGAGCTCATACATTACTGTTTGACATGTGCTGAGCGTACAGTACATGCCTTACCTGCCACTGTCAGAGAGCTTCCTGCCAAGAGTCTGACATTCAGGTGTTTCCAGGGTCCGAGGCTGCCTGGAGAATGGTGAATGAGCAAAGGGAACAATACACAAAAGGAAAAAAAAAAAAAGATGGATGGATGGATGAGACGATGGAAGAGAGTATGATGGAGGATACATCATTTAGATTTAGAAGAGTCTGACTCTCAGGGGGGCTGTCATTGGCCTTATAAGTTTATGATCTGGAAAACAGGAAATAGGAGGCATGCTGTGATGGATGGTATGATGGTGATATGAATAAGGGGTGTCGCACACTCATGCTTCATCTGTAAATGTGCCTGTGTGTGTGTGAGTGTGTGTGCACATAAGTGTGTGTACCTCTTCTTTGTACTGAGGTGAATCAAAGTCTCTTGAGTAGGAAGTAGCATCCATATTCTCCATTCATGGACATGAAGATGACAAAGATGATACATGTACCGCCACACACACACACACACACACACACACACTTCTGATATGAATTATGGACATCATGAATTCTAAGTTGTTGCTGAGCACAAAGCCTTGAAAAAGAAAGACTTCTCAAAGACTGAGAGGAGAAGGCGAGCACACAGAAGCTGCAGATGCAATTCCCAGAACAAAAAGTACACTCGGAAAGACTGCAGGAAGCAAACTCAACAAGGCAGGATTTCACACCATAACCAGAACAAACTACCAGAAGTTCAGAAGAGCACAAACCAGCCACTAAGAACTGGGAAGGAAGGATAGGAAAGCCACAGGACAAAATTACGGCGACAACAACCACAACCAGGGACGAAAACTGTCGCTACAACTCTCGGCAACAAATGGCAAACCAGAAAAACACCACCCACAGGCTGAAAACCATACAAGCAAAACCCTTTACACAATGTGAGTGACAAAGTATTAAACAAAGTAGAACTTGTCTGCGCCTATGGGACTTTTATTTAGACAAGTTCTAAATTGTATATCGTGTTCACTCTCACTGTGTCCAGCTCATTGACCACAAACCAGGAGTGTAGGGTTAGCAACAGGAAGCTAAATTGAAAGTGACAAGAATAGCTTGTCATTTTATCTTGTATTTGTTAAAATAAAGTGAAACCTTGCAGCTGCAACTGCAGCTATTATTAGTTTCAAAAAAATAATTTTAGTTCAAAGCAAGTTTCAAGTAATAGATCAGCATTTTGTGCCACTGTTGTATTTGTCCATTAAATATTAAGCTAAAGCCAGGAGACATTAGCATAGCCTAACATAAAGAGAAGCTAGCTAGAGCTAGCCTGGCTATGTTCCAGGTAACCAAACGCCTTTAAATCTCACTAATTAACACGTTAGGTCTTGTTTCCTAATCCATACCTTTGGACAGAACCAGGCTAGACGTTTCCCCCATAAGAACTCCAAGTCTTTCTGCTAAGCTAAGCTAACTGTCTCCTGATTATAACTTCATATTTAACACACAAATCTAAGTCTCCATTAGTGAAGTTCGTCAAGTGAATATTTCCCAAAATGCTGAACTATTTTTTTTAAAGGCATTTAATTAATCAGCCATAGTAGTCGTAAATGGTTTATATGATACAAGATAAAGTCACTCACTACACTTTAATCAAAA